GGGGCTAACAGACAGAGTTTAGAAAAGCAACCATGAAGAAACTCAAAGAAGTTCTAGTACCTCAATTAACCACAGAAAGGTAAGTTAAAGATATCAAAACATTTAAGACAATGGCAGGAACAGAATCTCATATATCATTAATCACCCAACATGTAAGTGCACTTAATTCATTAGGAGTGAAACTGCTGGGTCATATGATAAATGCATTTTTTAATATTTTGAGAAATACCTGTACCATTTTTCCACAGGGCCTGGACCAGTCTACACTCCCACCCACAGTATAAGAGGGTTTCTTGTTCTCCACATCTTCACCAACACTTGTTGTTTCTGTTCTTTTTGATATGAGATAGTCTCACAGATATGTGATGGTATCTCATTGCAGCATTATTTACAACCGCCACGCTATAAAAACAAGCTAAGTTCCCCAAAACAGATGAGTGGATCAAGATGATGTGGTTTATATACACAACAGAAAATTACTTAGCAATCATAAAAAAAATAAACTCATGCCATTTTCAGCAACATGGATAGAATTGCAGGGATAATGCTAAGTGAATTAAGTTAGAGATATAAAGATAAATACCAGATGGTGTCACTATTATGTGGAATATAAAGAAACCAAAATAAGAATCAGAGCAAGATAAACTTATAAACTAACCCTTGAAAGCTGACTATAGAACTGAAAGGAGGAGGGTGTGGAGGATAGATAGGCAGGAAGCACAATGGACTATGGTGGTGGACTATGGGTGATTTCATGGTGTGCATCCTATGGTAGCTATATCTGATGGGGAAGAGCCTAATGGTACCACAATTAAAAGAATAAATTAATTTAGAAAATGGATAGTACATCTGATAAAACAATTTACCAAAGAGGAGATACTGAAGGCCAACATACATGGGAAAACGTTCATTATCACTTTTAATAAGGGATATATAGAGCAAAAGTGCAATGATATATCATCTCACACCTGTGAGAATGGCATATATTAAAAAGACCTCCAGGGCCTCCCCGGTGGCGCAAGGGGTTAAGCACCACACTATGAAGCAATCCACAGCCTCTGCAGCATGGTTCGATCCCTGACCAGCCAGGGAGCAACCCACATGGCGCAGCAGACCTCTTCTGTCTCGCCCGCTGTTCCCCTCAACAGCGTATTTCAGTCAATCTGCCTGTTCTGCTCCCCACTGTTTCTGGTGAATCTTCTCACCCCCCATACCTCTGGCCTGTACCCCAGTTATTGTATGCATAAATAAATAAATCTTTTAAAAAATAAAAAGACCTCCAATAACAAGTGCTGAAGAGGATGTGGAGACCCAGGAACTCTAATAAATTATTAGTGGGAATGTAAGTTGGTGCGGCCATTTGGAAAGTGATTTGGCAAGTACCTTAAAAAACTATAAACATATGATCTAGTGACCCGACATTTGGTTATCTATCCATGGAATGTGAAACCATCAACTAAATATATATTTTGTACAATGTTTATTGCAGTATTATATACAAAAGCTAGGATTTGGAAGCCACCAACATGTCCACTAACACAGGATTGGATTAAAGTGATGTGGCATAACCATACAATGGAATACTATTCTGCTACAAGGAAAGATAACATGTTATAATTCACTGCAAAGTGGCAGGAGCTCAAGGTAATTATAGGCAGTAAATTCGGGAAGGGAAAGAAAAATGTTAGATGATTTCACATATATGAGAAAATGAGGAATCAAAGTGGATGAACAAAGCAAAATAATTGTGAACTATTGGGCACTGATCACCTAAGTAAGGTTTCTGAGGTTAAGAGAAAGGGTGAAAAAAGAAAAGATATGGTGGGGGGGGGGGCTGAATGGAATGAATACAGGTGAATCTGAATGTAACGAAAATGTATTCAATATGTATGTAACACGTAGTTTTGGTAGTAGAAAAATGACTTAAATAACAGAGTCAAATTTAGGTTTTCTCTCTGAAATTAAAATAGTGAAAACATATTTTCAATGCCTCATTTGGCTAATAAAAAATGAATAAACAGTCCTGCAACTTCTCGCTTTGTACTGGGGCATGTTGTTCTGGAAACATACCCAGATCATCAGCATTCATATTCGATGGTCTTGAACACAATGAGGAATTAATTGAATCTGTCTTAGCGAAAATGCAGTTGACCACTGACATACACCTGGGTACTCATGTAATCATTTCTTTAATAGCAATTGATAAACATTATTTAATTTTTTTTGTGATTTATGCACTCAATCAGAAGTAGCAATTTTATTTTGATTCATATTCCAGCTCCAATTGTTTGATGATGATGCCCAGAATATGGTGTTAAGAAGGATTCGGAAATCAAATTTGAACTCAGCTGCAAAGAATATATTGATATACACACATACACACACACACACACACATACTACTGATGGTTAGAAGTGGGTGGAGAGATTGTGAATGCAATGCATTGGATATACATTTTATTTTGATCATCATTACCTAGCATGGTGTCCGGTACATGACAGAGCTTGGACACGGAAGTTAGACAGTCTGGGATAAACATTATTTAATATAGGTAACTACATAACTAAATTTTTCTGTCATATAAGGATCATGATCATAAAACTTAAAATATTCATTTTAATTTTGGAATGCTGGGGTTAACATAAAGGAAAAGAAAGGACACTGAGGAAGGTATTTACAGGGAAGCAAAGATTAGTGTTAATAGGACCAAAAAAAAATGATAATTGAGCCCATGCTCTGATGACAAACATACTGTTAATTGAATACTCAGTGTGGTCTCCTGATACAGTTATTCCTAAATGGAGTACATAGGTCTATTTTGATTACATAGGAATATATCCAAGGTATTTATCACCAAACCAACATTTTTAATACCTTGGTTTAATATCATTTTTTTAAATGTAGGTTTTTCTTTCATATTGTATGATAATAGATTTAGTCTATTCGTTTTCATTCCTGCAGTTTTGTGGAAAACAGGGTGGTTTAAAACCCTCACTTTCCCCTCGCTGTCAGGGCCTATCTTGTACTAGTGTGACCATTTTCCACATGAATACTGGTTTTGTTTTTGGTTGTTTTCTCCTCACCAAAATAGTTCTATTGAGGGGATGGCAACTTGTCAGGATTTTTTTCCTCTTGCTCCCTAATCTTGTTGAAGAAGAAAATCAGGACATAAAAGACTCCTCAAACTCTCCTTGATTGAGAACTGGTAATGACAGAGCATATATCAATTTATAAGGTGTTCAATTTACCCCTTTTCTTCTGCTGAAAATATTCTAGCAACATCTATAAAATCACTTCCTGTATTTTAAGAAAATATGTTCCACTGTAACAGAACATTTTTTAAACATAAAAACTGTCTAGAGAAAATAAAAATACAAATATATGTATATATATTTTCTAAATATTGCTAGGCGGCATGTTATAATTGACATTTTATCTGGATTTTTTCTCAATAATTTAGTTTATTGAATTGTACAACTTTATTGCAAATATTCTCACACTGGAAAATCAGTGCAGGGATTCGCAAAGAATTTTGTCAGGCAGTCACAGTGAATAATTTAAATATTTCTACAACACAGTCAAATGAATTTATTAACCTCCAAATTCAGCAGTTTTAAAAGTTGTTCATGGTGAGGCAAGACAATTTGAAAACCTATTAAAATCTAAAAGCACAGATTTTATATTTTTTGAATGTTCAATTAGTTGAACCAAATGTAACCTTCAATCCGAACAGTCATATAGCATTATCTTGAGTAATAAAAATACTTAGGGAAATTCATAATGCACATTTTTATTTATTAGTCTGTATCAAAATCTATTATTATACTTTAATCATTTCACAAAATCATTTGCATGTTTACGTTTCAACAAGAAGACTGTATTTCTCTAAAGGCTTCATTTTGCACAGTTGACTTTTCTTTACCATAATGTCGTTGTACTGCTTTTTATGTGTTCAATTTATGGAAGCAAGGAACTGTCAGGCAGACATAATTGGAAAATTTTCTAACAAGAAGTAAATTTGCCAGTCCTTTTCCTCTATATTTATGTTGAAATATACTATGCCAAATATCCAAATTTCCAGATAAATAGCTTCATGTTGAACTTTTATATACTTCAAATCATATAAAAATACCTGTTTTTATAGCTCTTTTACACTTTAATTACATTGTTAAAATCACTAATTGTGTCTACCATATGCTGGGGAAATAAAATCTGATACTGAAAAAGAAAAAAAAAGTAAAGATCGACTAAGTTATACCAGATAAAACTGAGGAGGGAGTATAATTTCCTTCCACTATAATACAAAAATAAAGTCAAAATTAAATATTCTATGAACTATTACAGAGCTACTCCTTATTACCACTTCCTAACACACTTCAATATCCTGATATAGCTGATGTGATCCATTCCCTACTTTAAATTTTCACTGCCATAAGTAGCATTTTATTACCGACTTTAAGCAAATATTTTCATAATTGCAAACTAGCTGTTAAATTAACACAACTTGAAATAAATTTCAACTGCCAAAAGAATTTGTTTCATGTTCTGGCATAAAGGTAATATATTTATCAGCCATCAATATAACAAACAAATTACTAAAGGAACAGAGGTTTTATTTTGTCAGAGCTGGCCTAACTCACAAAGTCAGAAAGATTTATATGTGATTTATCACACTTGCACAAAGAATCACAGGTGTTTGAACAACCAAGACACAGATTAGTTAGTAATTATGATAAACACCCCTTAAAATTGAGACGGAATTCCTAGTGGAATAAGAACAGAATAGGAAAAATAAACTCCCAACGCTAAAATATTTTTTCCAATAATTATCTAAAACCTAAGTATTCTTACTGGTTTCCCTACTGTTTTCTTGGAGACCTTGAATGACTGCACACAAATTCAGTGATTATTACAGAGCTTCTATTTAAGCACTAAATTAAAGTTTTATAAGTTAAGTTAACCCTAAACTATAGCTTTCATTATGCAATCAAAACTCCTACCTCACTGTAGAATCTTCTGTATTGCCATCAACCATCATCTCCAAATTTTGTGAGTGTTTCTCACAAGCTTCTTTGAACAAATTTTTCTCTGGAACTGCTTTAGGAATATCTTCATTTGCTCGAAGATGTTCTATCAAGTTTTGTTGGTGCCAATTCTGAAGGGCTCTTTGATGGGCAGGGGCTGGTCCTGGCACTGGTGCTAGTATGTTGTGGTGGACAGGACTGTTGCTTTTCTTCAGTCCATTTCTGTCCCGAGAGTGGTTCTTCAACCTGCCCTGAACCGGGGTCCCTCTATGCTCATATCCTTCCTGCTGAAGGCAGCTTCCACTGTTGGGCGAACCTTGAGAAGGATGACTAAACCACCTCCAACGTAGCCGTAGGATTTGTTTCACATCAAACTCTTTCTTGCCAGACACTGACATCTTTGCAGGAGGAAAGACAAAAGCCTTCCCTCACAGAAAGGAAACGGAGCCTTTGTTATCTCTTGTTTCTCTGCCTCTTCTGTAGAGCTAACAAAAGCACAAGTGCAGAGAGCAGCCTTTCACCCCTCCCCCGCTGCCTGTGGTACATACACTGTGAATACGTCCAGCTTTCTAGATGAAGCAGAAAGCTGCAGCTAACAGTGTAGGTGGGAACCCACACTGACAGGATGATGAGGTCAGACCTTAAACAAGTAAATCAGCTTAGCACAGGAAAGCAGCTACCACAACACACTCCAGCTGCTAGATTTGCACATTTGCAGCCCTCCCGCCTGGATCTGCAAATCTAACCCAGTTTGTTCCTAACCAAAGTACAGTAGCTTAACCCCCCCCCCCCCCGCCAAATGAGACAAAGCAGTGTTTAAACTCAGTTCCTTCTAGATCTTCTCCACTCACCCCACTCCCTGCAAGATTCATTTCCCAGCAGCCTACTTCTAGAAATGTGCCAATTTGTCCTAGGAAAATTTGTAAAACTGGATTATTAAGACTTATTTTGGATTTGTACTTATGAAAATTTTGAAGGTGGATCATTAAGCATTTTGTCATCAGTCCCCTCATGCAAATTAATAGTTATTTTTACAAAACCGGCAACGTGGATGACTTTATATTTATATAAACATTTGCTTGAAAACTCGAACAGTTTAGAAACATAAGAAAGTATTGGTACCTGTTACTAAACACACACATCCCACAAGAGAATGTAAAATCAGACTTTTAAGAGCATACCTAAGGGAAAAGAGCAATGTTTTCTAAGCTCTTTAGATTAGAAAAGATGTCTTCTCTCAGTGACCAAAACTTGAAAACAAATAGATCATTCTGGCTCCATGCCTGTATAAACATCACCTTATCATGCTCTTTACTTTCACAGGCAATGTTAAAGGTCTATTTTCTTTGTTCCAAAGTCCTTATAGGAGGATGCAAAATGACATGTTTTGAATTAACTACAAATTGTCACATAACTCAGTAATAACTGCACAAAAAACTTTGTGATCAACTTGACTTTGTACAGGGGTAAATATAAGAGAGAGTCGTGTATCAAAAATATATTGACAATACCATTTTGAAATTCAGTTTGAATTGTATCCCACTCCCATGTCATGCAGGCAAGTGATATGAAAAATTGTACTAGTATATCCTTAGAAAGAATCTTGAAATTACACATTTTGGGTGTAAGTTCTGGTTTTATGGGTAATGAACTGTATGAACTTGGACCAGTCACTTTACTTCTTTGCAGCACATTTTTTTTCATATAAACTATGGAGAGACAGAACGGATTTCTAAGTTTCTGCAAGCACCAAAATGCAATTGCAAACTTGGAAATAGAGAATAAAATGAGGATCTTTTTGTAACTACTGGTATCTTACCCACAGTTTTCTATAAATCCAAGTACACTTTCTCTTGCCCCTCTTATTTCTGTAGGTCTAATGGTAAATTTATGTGTCAACTTGAATAAGCTTATGGGCACTGATAAACAATAATAAACATTATTTATTTTTAATTGAGGTATCACTGGTCTAGAATACTGTGCATAATTTAGGGGAATGGGATCAGATCTATGTTACCACACCTCACCCACCCTTAAATAACCATAACCCTCTACCATAGACCATTGGACTCCCAAAGGATTTGTTCCCACTCCCAACCTCCCCCGCTCTAGTAACCTCAATTCTGCAATCATAATTCTAGGGTCACACATTATTTTGGGTGTTTCTGTGAGGGTATTTATGGATGAATTTAACATTGAAATCTATAGCCTCCATAATATAAATTGCCCTCCCTAATAAGGGTTGGCTTCTTCCAAAAAGTTGAAGATCTGAATTAACCGAAGGCTATCCCTTCCCTGAATAAAAGGGGATTCGGGTCTGCCCTGATGGCCTAGGGACTAAGTCTCAGCACCAGCACCACTATGGCCTGAGTTCAATCCCCTGGGTCAGGGAGATAACCCACATATGGCACAGCAGACTTCTCCTGTCTCGCCTGCTGTTCCCGTTAGCAATGTATTTCTGTAGATCTGCCTGTTCTGCTTCTCACTTCACTTTGGCTCTGGTGAATCCTCTCACCCCCAACACCTCTGGCTTACACCTCAGTTCTTCTACATAAAAATATAAATAAAAAAATAAAATAAAGGAGGATTCCTTCTTACTGATTGCTGTTGAGCTAGGGCACTTTTGTTTTTTTCTCTGTCTTCAGATTCAAAATGAAATATTGGCTCTACCTCACACACATTCACACACACACATGCATGCACACACACAAGACACAAAAATTCTATTGGGTTCTGTTTCTCTGGGGAACCCAGACCTACGGTATTTTCTAGTAGTACAAATATAATAAATATACACTGATATATATATATATATATATATATATATATATATATACACGTGTGTGTGTATATATATGTTTGTACATATATCTATAGATTTTATACCCCTGCAAACAGGTTACTCTCATCCCTATATTCAAGAAAAATTTTAAGCCTCAGTATTAACATCTATCATCACATTTCCTTACTGAATATGTTGCTTGTTGCCAGTACTTATCATAAAATACATGAAGAGAATGCCAAATAGTTCTTCCAATGAGCACCAGCCATATCAATGACCACTGTCAATTAAATGTAAATTGTTTTCCTGCTATGGTTAGGTAACAAATCCAAGTAAATTCCTTCAAAGTCAAAATCTATTTTTGAGCTTTATATTTCACATGTTTCTTAAACACAATGTTGGACATAGAGTAAGCAAAGTATAAATAGCAGGAAGAATAAATTTGTTATTGTAGTACAAATGTTATGTGATAAGAGCAAGAATAAGTACTAAATTGACAATCTAAGTAGTTCTAAACAATACCTTTTTGGATACCAGGTGTCTACAATCTTATTTTTCTAATTTGTTTTCTGAGGTTGTTATGATTCAGATACAGTTTTACAATATAATGAATAGCAACGAATACCTGTCAAAATGCACACAGTCATAGGACAATGCTCTATAGATTTTCTGAGAATACATTTTTTCTTTTTAATATTTATTTTTCTTTATGTATGCATACAAGAACTGAGGTAGAGGCCAGAGTTTTGGGTGTGTGTGAGAGGATTCACCAGAGACAGAGTGGGAAACAGAACAGGCAGATCTACTGAAATACACTGCTGAGGGGCATAGCTGGTAAGACAGGGAGGTCTGCTGTGTCATGTGGGTTGCCTCCCTGGCTGGGGATCAAAATCTGGGGAATCAAACTCATGCTGCATTGGCTGGCGATAGCTTGATAGCACTGAGACTTTAATGCTTGCACCACCAGGGAGGCCCTGAGAATATACTTTTTCAAAGTTTGCAGATTATGGGCATTTTCCCAGATCTTGGACACAGAATTTTGGAATGACCAGATTGTAAGCAAATTTCTAGAAGTTAATTAAAGAGAATAATATTTTATGAAGCATGAAGGTTCCTTCTAAATTTCTTATAAAAGAAACACTTAAGTATATTTAACAAAAATGAACAGAAAGTATGCATTATTCATTAATTTCTTCCCTTTGCCTTATTATCTACTTGGTACACAATAACTAATATATGTAGAATTAATATTTAAAAATTCTAAAAGAACTTAATATTTCATGAATTTACTATCTGAACAAGTGCTAGAATTTTAATATTGAACTACAAAATGCTCATGGGCTAAAAATAATCTAAATAATTCATGACTATATAGGTGAGTGAATAAGATTGCAAACCAGTTGAAGTCTCTGGATAAATTATCAGTCTTTTAACTCTCTTGATCAGTATAATTCTGGCCAGCAAATTAAGTTAGTAAGTTAGTAGGACACTATTAACATACTTAAGAGTAGGTATCTTTTTTAATTATCTGATCTAAAAAGTTAAAGAAAAATAATATCTAGTTATAGATATCCATATATTAAAACCTACACATCAACAACCTATCATGGTCCAGAGATGGAAATATTCATTTAGCACAGGCCATGCTGGGCAGTACTAAAATGATAAAAATATTGGAGAGGAGGGGAGAGGAAGTATTATGTCAAAATAAGGGGGGTGCAATTGTATGGGGAATATAACCAAAATGAAAATGCATACATTGTGTAAAAATGAAAAATGATGTAAGATTTATATAAAATAAAATATTAAAAAAATATATTGGGCCTCCCTGGTGGTGCAAGGGGTTAAGCACTGCACTATGAAGCAATTTGCAGCCTCTGTAGCACGAGTTCGATCCCCAGCCAGCCAGAGAGAAACCCACATGGTGAAGCAGACCTCTCCTGTCTCACCCGCTGCTCCCCTCAGCAGTGTATTTAAACCATTCTGCCTGTTCTGTTCCCCACTCTGTCTCTGGTGAATCCTCTCACCCCCTCATCTCTAGCCTGTACCCCAGCTCTTATATGCATAAATAAATAAATCTTAAAAAATAAAATGATAAAAATAAAAGCAGTAACTGGTTTGGAATGTGTGGATATTAAACACATGATTTTAATCAATCCTGCCCTAAGTCACTGCACCCAAAATCCCTACAAAATGTTGAAAGAAGTTATAAAAACATTAATTATATCCCCCAGTGAGTGTACTTGCCTCTGCAAAAAAGGAGATCAAATAATTGAAAGTGATTGCTTCTTCCAGTTACGTAATTTATGTAGGTGAACAGTAATTTTTTTCACTGCTCACATTTGTAAAACCAAACAAATCAACCAACCAAAATAGATGTCTTAAATAACACTGACATGTCTCATTCTAATAATAAGTAATATTAACTGATACATGAACAGAGTACAGAAGTATGAATGACAGAGGCATCAAATCACCAGAATATTTTGATTCCATTGGATATATTTGAAAGTAGCTTAAAATATTTATTTTGGAAATATCAACGAATATGTTGAAAGTTGCATCATTTGAAACCACTTAAATTTCTGATGCAATATTTTAAATGTGAACTTTGTTTTGTATCATTCTGCACATTCTTTTCCAAACTTTCTATAAGGGTTACACCAAGCAAACATATTTGAATACAACTGCTGAAGGTTAACCCAATTTTGAAAGATTGTAACTTGAATTTAATCTTCTCTGTTTTATTTCATAGACAAATTGACTAGTAACTTTAATTAGTAAATTATTTAATAGCTTTTCACATATCTTCCCCATTG